CTTTCTCATGAGTTGGTGGTTTTATCATCTGTATCACCCCGTAGCAATAGTTCTATGAATTAAAATTACCACTGCATGTTTTTTTTAAATCAATTTATTGGTATTTCTGTACCTTTTATGAGCTATCTAACCAGTATGCTTTTTACATTGATTCTCTAAACATAGAACTGGCCATAGCACTAACTAGATATTCAAATATTAGAAGGGAGATATCCATGAATATGACAGGGATTTTTTACTCAAGCCACTTCACCCTTGGCTTAGTCCTTTGTTACTAGAATAGGAATATCCCAAATCACCTGCTAACTCTGGTAGAAGATTCGCCCAAGCAAGAAGCAAAAGATAAAGGTGAAATAACTATCTTGTATGAATCATATTGAATGATTTCTAATATTTTAAAATCACTTTTATTTAAAAAAAAAAAAGCCAAAACAGAAGTCAGGCAAAATTAATGAAAAAGCCCACCAGCTGATAGGTAGGTATACAAGTACTTCCCCTGGACTCTCCTCTCAATAACATACTAGTTTTGACCAAGGAAACACTTGAGTATTTGTTTAATTTTTACTGCTTGGTTTAAATAGGTCAGAAGCTTCCTTGTCAGCCTACACAGAGACACCTCTTGTTCCCACTTTGCACACACAGTGATTACTCACAGTCTCACCTAGAATGAACCAAATACTTTCCTCAGAGGAAAATCGGGTTTGGCTGAGACTGAGTCTCTGTAGGGCACACTGAGTCCAGATTTTAGGACATGACCAGGTTTTATGCTTTCATACTCGGAGAGTCCTTGAAATACTATCTCAGCATCCTCAGCCACTCTGGCTTCTTTATGTCATATATAAGTTCAGTGACCCTGCACAGGGCAGGCTGTTAGCTGAGGTGCTGTGTTGAGGAGATGGCCTGAGCTGGTGTAGGCACATTTAGTATGCTGAAGCAGAACAGCTGGGCCAAGATTTATTGGTTAGACCGCAAAACCAAATTAATCCAAGGTTTTCCGTGGACTACTCACTTAGTACTAAGCCAGTCTTTGCTCACTATGTACATGATGCAAAAGAGGCCACACAAATTGGTCTCTGATGTCTATAGATTGCACTCTGGTGCAATTCCTAAAGGCAATGAAAACATATTCTCTGGAGCCCCAGTACATTAAAGCATTTAAGATGTTCTTAAAATTATCACATGCTTAAGTCTCATGGTCATCTGTATACTCTTAAGGTCTTTTTGAACTGTGTCCAGAAAGTGTTGCTGCATGAGGACTTATAAATCAAAAAAGAAAATAAGAATAAAGATCTTTGTATCTAGATAAGAAATATAATTATCTTACTGACAGGCTTCTCTCTCCTCCTGAATGTTATTCTGCATCTAATAAAAACGGTAACACAAGGCCAACAGGAGTCCCATTCTTGAATAAACAGGAACAGTTATTGGTTATTTAACTGCTTGTTTAGAGATGAGAGAAAATTATGTGTTGGTTTTTTTTAAGCCTATTTTGAGAAACAAACATGAGTATCTAGAGAGAGCAGGTTGTTCTTTATTGTGTTCATTGGTGTCAATTCCCCATATCTTGCTCAGTCTGCATGAACTCTACAAATCCCCACATTCATGCTCTCTTAGTGCAACTTTCATTTTACTTGATCTGTTTCTTAAAAGACAAATATTTGCTGGATGTCTCACACTTTCTGTGGGCCTCAGGCTGCTTGCTCACTGTAGGTATTGACATATGGAAAGAGCATTCAAAGAAACTGGCAACAGGATTCACTAAGGATTGGGAATCTCATACTAAGCAAGATATCCTATGGGTATTGCCTATGAAATGAAAGGAAAACTGCTTTAGAAGGATCTGCTGCCAGTTTTGTCTTACACCTGTTCACATTCAGTGGGGTAGCAGTGCATGTGCAGTTAGTATTTTATCTGGTTTGGGTCTTATTTTCCACACTGAGAAAGGCAGTAATGTTCATAGCTCAGTGCATGACAGAGAGCCTAAAAACATCCAAAGCAAGCCATTGTAGAAGAAAGAATGGTGGTTACTCCCTGTCTTTGCTGACTGCTTAGTTAGCTTGTGATGAGTGCAACTCAAAACTGCTGTGGATTGACAAACAAAATAAACTGAATGTCTGAAAGAAATTTGTTGAGAAAATAGTTAGAACTGGTGTGATCTATCAACTTCTAGTTCCCTTTTTTGGTACAATTATCTTGTTTTGCCAGTGGTACCAAAGCAAAATACCTATTTTATCTAGTCCCACGTAATTTACCCTTCACCCTTGGTTGAGTTTGCTCATTCTCTTTCACAGTGATTTGTTATTTGAGTCTGTTTACGCTTGCTGTTCAAGTAGAATAGATCACAAAAGAAGCACAGACCTCACAAAGCTGAATGTCATACACAGACTGAAAGCAGCCTTAGGTGAGTTAGGTGTCTAGGTCTAGGTAGGCAGTCTATGTATGCATGGTGCACAGATGTTTTATTTCCATTGCTTCTACATAGGCTGGACATGCCCAAAAATGCTTCATCTTCTGTCAACAAAGATCCTTAAGCCAGAACTGCTTAAGGCCTGATACCTGCAGATCACCTTAGCATCCTAAAAAATTGTCTCAATTTTGTTCCAGCCCTTACTCTTCAAGAATGCCAGTGAGGCATTAGGCATAATGTATATTTTTTATGAATTGGTAATGATTGTTATGCATAATTCTGGATTAGATTTCTCTCCTGTTTTATTAATCCTTGAAGCAATTTTAGCAATGTCTCTGGAATGAAATGTATACAAGCCTTCTGTGGAGCTTCTCTTCTTGTGAAGAGAACAACACTCTTTCCAGTTCCATCAAAATACTTTCACAGTTTTTAAAACTCTTCTTAAAACTCAGCCTAAGATTAGCCATGCTGACTGGGTCCCATGCTTACAGAGGTAAAGATATTACTTACAAGATTAAAATTCAGCATCTGTTTCAAAACTTTCCTGTGTATACACTGACCAATATTTGTAGTAGCAATTCATATATCTTATATATGCTTACTTGTTATTACTATAAGGACTTAGATGAACTTGCTGCCAAGAAACCAGTCTGATTCTACCTAAGGCCTCCTAACACACAGAACAGCTCTTGTGATCTGAAGTGAGGAATGAAATAAATGATTGCACACATTCACCTTTCACTGAGGTCAATGCAAAAAACTTCCAAATTCCAGCACAGAGGGAATCAGGTTATTGAGCCAAACCAGTGGCATGTTCAGTCACTGAGAATTTTACAGTCCTCCTGAAAACAAAATGTTATGATGTCCTGTAGGACAGATGATAAGCTACAGCCACTTGCCTTCAAAATGATAAACTACTACTTGTATTACATGCATGTCAGAGGTTTGTTTTTAGAAGACTCAGTTTCCTTGTATTGCATTAATTTTCAAGGTAAGCTCATCTTGCTGCATACTAGAATGCTGGTGAGTTTAGGTGATTCACAGTATATTGAAAACTAGCTGGATCAAGGTACAGCTTTTGAAATCATAGGGAGAGAAGAAGTGATTCTATAACTTTTCAGTGGGGTTTTGAGTTCTAGAAATTTAACTAATTATTCTTTTAACCTTCTGTGTTTCTCTTCCACCCTGGAATAAAAACAAAATAAAAATCTGACATGCTAAATATGTATAATTTATCTCTCATTTACTTACTGCAGCAACATTTTTGTCTTCAAATTTAATTTCAGTTACTTGATTGACTGCTTTGTTTGACCAGGGTCTTATACATCTCATAAGCAGAAGTCTTTCTGGTTTTTTTTTCTTTTTTTCCAGTAGCAAGTGTGATTTGTAGCACTTTGGTCTGAAAATCCAAACTGATTTGCTTTCATTTGATACCAAAACATACTCATACATTTTTGGCATTAAACCAACTTTCTACATATGCACATATTGGCAATCAGAAATTTGTCTTAGGTGAAAGAAAGTAGTTAAATCAAATGACTCATGTTTAAAGCAGACATTTTAAACAGTTATGACAATCATCACAACTTTGCATTTTCTATTAGAGCAAATTTAATACTTAAAAATCTACTTATATTATCAAATATTGATAGCAGTTATTGCTCTAAAGAGTGCATTTTTAATACCTCTCATATAAAACATTTTCAACCCTCCAAATTCATTAACTTAATAAGTTGAGAGGTTATATGTCAGCCTGATAGCTTATTTACTGAATTTCAGCAAATTTCTTTCAGAAAATTGACTGCTTAGTAATTTTTTTCCCCACATTTATATGTCATAACATCAGGTTGTTTAGCTGCAGTTAAAATTCAACAGATCTTTACAGAATTGGGTGAAAATTCACTGTTATTCAAGAAATTATATGAGAGAGCTTTCTAAAATTTCTCAGGAAACTGCTTCCAAAAATCCATTATTACCAGCTGAATTCAGTGCATGAAACTGATGTAATTGAACACCTTTGTTAAAATCTGTTTCTTTCAGTGTAACACTACTTAAAGCCCTGGTTCAGGTTAAAAATACTTGAGATATATTGATACTTGAGGGACAAGGGTGTGCTGCATTTGAATACACTGAAAAATTGGGTGAATCTGGGCTTGGGTCACCAGGATTGGTAATTTTCTCTAAATCTGACTTCTTTTTTCTTCAGAGGGCAGGAAGAAATATATTCCTAAAGCAACATAATGGGACCATTTGTTAGGAAACATTTTTTAGACACAAAGACTGTCTATTATTCTAATACATTTAAAAAACTATAATTCTAGGTTCATTACCCTTAAAAAGGGGGCAATTAGTCACGCCTCCATAGAGTTAGGTATTTTTCACTACTGTGCTCTTAAAATGCAAGATGAACATATGAAACTTTACTGTCTTTTGAAGTATTACACACATTTCTGTCTGGAACAGCAAATTATGTTCTTAAAATTTTCTCTGACATTTAAAAATGTTTTTTTAATTTTCACAATAGGTTAAACAACAAATATAATGTTAAAAATAAAAAATCTTAAAAATTACTATTTCAAGTGTCAGACTGGGACATGTTTCACAGAAAATGTGAAAAATTTTGTTTTAAATTTATAATAAGCAATCAAATACTCTTCAGTGCACATTATTATGTCTATTATAATTTGAAACTGAGTGCTGATGACTGCTGCTGCTGATCTTTTAAATCTCTTACAAAATATAAATAGGATAGCCAAGAGAAAACAACTGATAAACCATGACATGAGATTCTCTTTTCTTTCCTTTTTTTCTCTTTTCCTTCCCTCTCCACTTGGACTGAAGTCCATTCTGGCTTCTTCAAAAAAGTGCACGCACATGCACACAGCCCCACACACACCCCCACACCCACACACAGCCCCCAAAAATTAATTCCAAAACCATTTTTCTAAATTTCCAATGGACTTGTATTCCTGGTGTCTTTTCACATGATCACAGGCAAGACATGCATGTGATTCCCAGAACCTAGGAAGGTGCACTGAAAAATCCTTCTTCCAGTTGAAATAACTAAGATACATCTTGTTATTTTTGTCAAGCATCAGAAGATATTCTGCCAGCTCTCTGGGGGAGAGAAAATCTTCCACATGTATGAAAGAGTCTGCTGGAATGTAATTCTCATAATTTTCTCTGGAAGGGCCCAGTACAACTGGTACTGATCCAGCCAGAAGAGCATTGTAAAGTTTCTCAGTAATGTAATCTTTGTGGATTGAATTTTCAAAGGAAAGGTAGAATTTGCAGGAGGAGATAGTTGGAATCAAGTTTTTATCGTTGACGTAGTCTCCGAAGGCTTGTCCGTAGGTGTGGATTTCAATGTATTTGCTAAGCTCGTTGTAATACTTGACTCGAGCGTGCTCGGGGTTCCAGTTACTCACAACCCAGCAGACCAAGTTCTCCTTACTTGGTACTTCAAACGTGAAGGAACTCGTACCAACCATCATGAAGCCGTAAGGCACCTGGATATCTGAGTCACGCCGGTAAGTCAGGGTCAGGTTAAAAAGGTGTTCAATGCCACTCTTTTGTGGAGTGTGTGTTGGAGACTCCAAGTTCATCCAAATCCACTTCTGGAATGGTGGCCTGGCTTGCTGAGGTAAATTAGCCAGATCCCAGCTAATGTCTCTGTGATGAATGAGAACAGCATGGGATCTGTTATATAGCGAGCGGTCAATAGTCAGATGGCACCCAGGGATATTGAACATGGTTTGGCAGGATGTTAGATCGAATGTCTGACCAAATGGCCACACCCAGATCAAAACAGTAGTTTCATTGAGATTATCAGTTTTGGAAGAAAAGAAGTTCTTCATTTTCAAGACTGAACTGGCTGATTCTATAGGACCAGAAATCCAGCTATTTGTTGGTTTGATATAAATTAATATAAATGCCATGAAACAACCAAGGATAATGAAGATAATAAAAAATGGCCGGAAAATTCCTTTAGATGTCGATGTCATAATTTGCTCTGAGAAAAAAAAAACAAGAGAAAGAGAGAAAATAATATCAGATATTAAATTACATATATATGTCCTGTTAAAACTGTCAGATATCACATTAGAAAGTACTTCAATAAAACTGAATTGCCACCTCAGAAATTTCCTTTGAGTGGAGAGGGCATAGGTTCTTGCACACCATGACAAAGTGACAATATTTCTGTTCTTCACATTAAAAGCTCACTGACAAATTAAAAGCAGGATTTTAATATGTCTCATACTTGGTGAATCAGTATATATTGAGAATTTTTTTTTTGCTTAGAACCTAGGCCAAGCATTTGGAACACAGAAGACAGACAAAACTGCCCTTTAATTCTATCCTTGTGTCTGCATAAAGGGTAACATGCTGTAGATTTGTTGCTTTTGTATTTGTGTGAATGTGGAGGACACAGGATTAGAGGACTGAAAAAGGAAGGGACTAGAACTTTAATTGTGTAATCAATAAGACTCTTATTAGAAAACTAGTTCATGTCTGGTGGCTACATAGCGATGAATATTCATGCCTTCTCCAGGGGACTCCTAAAATACCTAGGGGAGGAAGCACCAGTAGAGGATTTTCCTATGCAGCCACATATATATTTCCCACATAAAGAAAAATAAACAGAAATGAATTAAAAAGATGTCCTTGTATATTTCATTTTGGGTTTATATACTAAAATTTAAAAGAGTCAAGATATTCTGCATTGTTGTGAGATATTATTTTTTATCCCATGGGGAGATAGGTCTGAGGAGCTCACATAGCCTCCTTTATCCTTGCTCTAGTTGTTTCCTCCTGAGAAGTGATCAATCTCTTTCCAGAACTACTCTTCCATGTGGTTCTTGCAAAACCTAACAAAGTTAGGGGTTGTTAATTGCTAACCCTTGATCCTGAATGTAGCCCTAGAACTCACAGATGTTCTAAAACTAGAAAAAGTTAACCATGCAGCACCATGGCACACAAGGGAGAAGGAGGGGAAATCAGTTACCAGAAAAAAGTGCTCTGAATTTACTGGCACACTGTAGTTTCTACCATGCATTACAATTACTGTAAAATTTGTCTTTATTTTTCTCCATATTTTTCAATTATTTGTGTTTTGTTATCTTGGCTAGATAGCCCCACCAAAAATTATTAGAATCCCCACCCTTATAAATAGAAAAAATATATATTAAAAAAAAATTAAATATGTATATATATATATGTATGTATAATTAAAGTCAAAGCAGAAAGTGAATTTCAGGCCTTTTAAACTGCTTTCATAGCTCATCTCTTCCTACCTCTGAAATAAGTCAATAAATTCAGAATGAAGACAAGGTAGAATGTGATTCAGAAGTCCACTAATAGCACATTGCTGCCTTTGTGAGAGCAAAAACTGATGTGTGAGTGTAGCACTACAGTTCAACAGGAATGTTTTCACATTCATTGTTGAGGAAAGGAAAAAGGAGGCAACATCATGCTTAGCTTTACTCTAACACTGTATCTTGAAGAAAAGGGAGTTTGCCACAATATCTCCCCTGGGTTTGGGAAGATGGTTGATGTTAATTCTGGTTTTAGTTAGAGAGGTGGGTTAAACCTTGTCTGGCTGTCAGACCCACCCAGCCACTCTCTCATTATCTCTCCTCAACAAAATATGGGAAGAAAACAAGATGAAAGTCTCATGAGTTGAAGTAAGGACAGAAAAGTCACTTACCAGTCATAGATTAAACAGAGTCATCTTGGGGCAAAATAATGTAATTTATTGCCATTTAAAATAGATGTATATAGTGAGAAACCAAGACAAATACTAAAATTTCCCCTCACCTTTTTCCCAGGCTCAGCTTCCTCCTTCATTCCCAACTCTTATACCTCCTACCCACCCCTGAGCAGTGCAGTGGGATAGGGAATGGAGGTTTGTGCTCAGTCCACAACTATTCCTCTTGGCTGCTCCTTCCTCCTCATACATTTCCCTTCCTCCAAAATGAGTCCTTCCTACGAGATACAGTTCCTTCAGGGAAAAAAAACAACTTAGCTACTGAGTGGGCTGTCCACGGGATGCTGTTCCTTCAGGACACATCCTCCTGCTGTGACATGGGGTCCTCCCCAGGCCACTGTGGGCTGCAGGGGAATCTTTGCTCTAGTGCCTGAAGTATGTCCTCCTATCCTCGTTGCTCACAAGGTTGTTTCTCACGTTTCCTCCCTAATTCTCCACTGTTTGTGCTTTTCTTAAATGCACTTTCCCAGAGGTGCCACCCCCTTGCGGTTTAGCCATGCCCTGCAGTGGGTGTGTTATGCTGGAATTGGCATGGGGTGGCCCTGGCTGCTCTTGGGAGAGGCTCTCTGCCAGCCCCAGGTGCCAGTGCCTGGGCACAAACACCTCCTACAATTATAAAGAATATATGGTGTACTGAATCTGCTGCTTTTGTCTAGGCCCTTTTTCTGAAGGACATAGTTTAGCAGGCCCTCTCTGCTTTCAGCAAAATGATCCTGAGGGGAGTAAAGGAGGGAAACTGCGTATCAATGGCTTTTCCACTTATCCTCATCAGTTTCAATCCCTCTGAAATAAAAACAATGCTTTCTAGCAACATTACATTGGCTTTTTACAGCCTATGTTGATTGTTGCTGGAAAAAATGTCTAGAAGGAAGGTTATGACCTATGAGTGCCTAAGACTGCTTCCTTTCCTATGGGGAATGGGACCTCTAAGGAAGAAGGGATTTAGGTTGAACAGCTCTAGGAGATGCAGCTCAAGAGAAAAATAAGAGGCTGAGCTGATATTCATGTAAAGCTGTTCTGTTTCTGTGCTATTGAAAGCGATACACAGAACAGGTATAACTTATCACTGAACAGATAGTGTGAGCTGAGTTTGGACAATAGATTGCAAAACATGTTTATTCACAGGAGCTGATCATTTTCTAGGGATTGAAAAGGATGATGAAAAATCAGAAAAGGATTTTAACATTGTGCCTTGTAACATAGTCACACTCCAGTTAAAAGCTCTTTGACTCAAGTCTCTGACAGGGATTATTTTACACTAAGCTCTTCTGCTAACTAATAACAAACCCCTGCATCATCACATGACAATTCTTACTACATAGGAAATGAACAGATATTATGTATTCTGTTCTCTGCTTGAAATTCTAGTTTGTCCAGGCTGTTGTATTTGTGTGGGAAGGTTTTGAACTGTAGAACCAATGTGAAGATTGTCACTTGTGGTTTGTGCCAATATTAACATCCGACCATGTTAAACAGATGAGTTTACCTATTTTTGGCTCTTCTGGGTTGATTTCCTCTCCTGGCTTTGCTGCCCTGTGAACGCATGTCCCTTTTCCTGATCTGGGATCATGGTTCTTAGATTTTCAAGGCCCATTAAAAAATTGAATTAGAGTCTTGCAAGGAAGCAGAGGACCTGAGCAGACTCCTAAAAATACCACTTAGCTATACCCTGAGGAGCTGGACACAATTTTTTCATGGAGTTCTATTTTTGTATTCCATTTTGTGGAATACAGTAATAACTATTAAGATGCATACTAGGAATAGCAGCAATTTTTCCTGACAAAGTGCTAACGGAATCAATAATTTCTGTACTTCACAAGGCAGATTGAGGAACCTACGGAATGGGCCAGAAAACTCTGCTTTCATGGCTTTTGGGACTGAGTCCTGTGCACAGGCAGGCAGCAGTATGTACAGTGCAGGCATGTGTTAAGCACTTGTTGACAAATATTATTTGCATAGCATCATAAAATGGTTTGGGTTGGAAGGGATTTTCTTGAGAAGTAGCTTGTGTATACCACTAGGACATAAAAGAAATGGTGCACTAGAATTCATAGATTATTTTTTCCATAATAATCTCCAAAATGGGTAGTATTTTCCATACTTATTTATGTCCTTCTTTTCTGTGCCCAAGATAACCATTAACATCCCACTGTAATTCTCACTATAAAGGTGACACTAAGGAGACATTTGTTACAAGCCATCCAGGCAAGTCACCTTAGTTCACCCTTCCTCTTTCATGGCTTTCCTTCCACCACAGAATCACAAATTTCCTTTCTGTTGATTCCCTCCCCCATGCATGTCGGAGTCTGAAAGGAAAACTTTGTCAAAGAGATGTGTTTACTGAGATTTTTGCCAGCTGGAAGAATTCTGTACTTTTGATAGTTTTGTTATAAAGTACATTTCAGAGTGTTGTGGCGTAGCAAGTATTTTCTAGGTGCTTTTGTTCTCAAGTTGAAAGCATAGTATTTCATCAGTGCAAGACTGTTTTTCTCAGTATAAAACTTAGCAAGACTTCTTTTAAAGTGCAAATCTTGGCATTCTATCAGCAAGCAACTGCATTTAGCAGCAACACAAACAGGGAGATAGTAATGGGGTATCAGCCCTGTTAACCCCAAGTTAGCCAGGCAAGGCTTGCAAAAATATGTCTATTTTTTGAATGCATTATGTTTATTAAGAAAAAAATGAATTTTATGGAAACAATTTTATCATATTTTCATTGCAATTTGGACTCTCAGTCATTCCAGAAGGTACAGATATGTTTTGGATTTTTTTTCTGATTATGCAATAGTGCAGTGGGGAGAAAATATAACCTTTCTCATCAATAATAATGATGCCTATTTCTCTGGCATTTTTAGCATCAATTTCTCCAGTTTCTCAAGGTTTTTCCAGTATCCCAAAATATATCACTACTTGCAGAAGTATTACTTTCATCACTAGTCTAGTACTGAGATTGTCCAAAGGAAAAGGACAGTATTTTAAAATAAAAATGAAGCAAAGATTCTTAAAAGCATGGACACCGAATAGTGAACAATAGATCACTTTACTTTTCACACCTTAGAATTCTTAAGCATTTGGGGCTAATTCTTGTGTTCACCACTAGCTGGTCTCGGGATTCCTCAGGCAGAAATACTTAACCTCAAGATAGTCTCTGAGGATCACTCCTGCCATCAGAGTGGGTGAAGAGCAGTAGGACTTTGAGGTTAACAGAAGTGTCAGAGGTAGGTACCTCCAGAAGCAGAGACAAG